ACTACATGACTCTTTAAAGTAGAGACACTACATACTGATATACACCTGAACATCAGCAGGAGAGGACTTTTTAAAGTAGAGCGGCCGGCACGCTTAAAGAGCTCCACGCTGGAGTGGAAACGCGCCATAAGAGGTGACCAATAACAACAGAGCCGGCCAGCTAACCAATCAGAGCATGGAGCCATGTCACATAAGAGACTTAAACAACTAATATGGAGCAAACTGAGCTCTGGTTTCAGACAGAGGGTGAAATTAGGTGCTCTTGTCCACAGTATATCTGGACCTGTTATGTATCCAACTTTACAAAAGAAATGGTTGAGTTGCCGTTTGAAAACCCTGTGAAAGTACATGAACAGTCACAACTTTGTCACATGGTGAGAGGATTCTTACACCCTTTTTGTTTCTTCTTGGAATCTAGTGTTTGGTTACAGAGCTAAAACCCCAGCTGATGGTTTAGTTGTTCTGTGTGAAAGGCATGTGACCCTCCATCTATTTGTATTTCTGCAAAAGCCACATTGTAATTCGATGTGTTGATGTGAGTGTGTGGGAACGAGCTCCTGTATTTGTTGTTCTTTCCTCACCATGCTGTTGTTTTTAGCATATCTGTTCTCCTCTGTTTACATAGGAGCCGGCACGTCCCTCTGTTAGACCGCTGCTGCTATGGGAGATCCCAAGATAACAACCTTTCTTGCGCGTGTGTTACCAGGAATATGCTGAGTTTTTCCCCAACTCTTTGGAAAAGCACTCAACCTTGTGATCTTTCATCTGTTTTAGCCTGAAGGGTTGTTCCGGAAATCAAAACCCTGCAAAGCTAGGACAAGAATTTCTCTTTCTTTTTCAACTTCATACAGGTGAACGTTTTTTTTTTTTAAGTGATACAGTTCTGAAACATGGATAACTCTCATATTATCAATCTTTAAGTGAAGCACGAGTCTTTTCATTGTTACTTTCCACTTTGTGTTTCTCCTAGGCCTTTTACTGACAACATTAAAGTGCTAATAGTGATCTGCAACACGTATAACTGCATTTAATCATGGAGGCCTTTGAGGGAGGGGTCGCCTTTTTTCTTCTTCTCAATGTTGTGAGCTCAAGAAACATTGTTCCAACATTATTCCTTTTTACTCATCATCAATGTCAAGCAGGGGCGGACTGGGACTACAAATCAGCCCGGGACTCTCGACCGGCCCACCTCGGTACCGCAAGTAATTACCGCTAGTAAATTGTCAACGGGGGGGTGCTAGTGACTTATCCGACCGGCCCACATCGTCCGACCGGCCCACTTCAGTACCATCGGGATTCGTCCCGAAAGTCCCGCCCCTGATGTCAAGGCATAAATCAATAAATGTATTTGGTTGATAACACTGGTGATAATAAGACACTTTTAGGGTGTATTTACACATATTATTAGTGTGGTGTCGTCTGTTTGGTGAAAACAAGGCCATTCAAACTCACTTTCTGTAGCGGAGGTTTGTAACGGATGATTTCTAAGCATAGGGAGACAGATGTTTGCAGGTCATGATGCAGCACACATTTTTGTTATCTTGTTTGTTTTTTTATTAAGAAAACTTTTAGAAGTTCGGAAAAAGTTCAGGAAGTTATATCTGGGCTTCATCTAATTATCTTGAAGGTTTTAACTGCCTTGAATTGACTAAATGTTTCTGTGAAAGTGGTTTGAAAAGGCTGTTGACACTATATATATGCAGTTTATCATTCTGATTAGCTATGTAGCAGCAAATGTTGCCTTGATCTGAAGCCTCGGATTTGAGTAAAATCGTGGAGGTACCCTTTAAAAAATATCAGTTATGTAACAAAGTGTCAAAAGAGCAAGGGCAATCCAAATTCTAGCCAAGCGAAGAAACCAAAAGAGAACAAATCAAAGTAAAAACACTTAATATATCTCCCTTTCACCTTCTTGTCTTTTCTCTTTAAAACAAAACAGCAGACATTTACGAGGTATAAGGAAATGATGACTTTGCAGAAATAATCTTCAGTATGATCTGTTGCTGTTGACTTGCAGTATTGTAAAAAATCTAGACCTATGTGAAATGAAGACACAAAATGCTTCCTTTCTCTCTGCCCTCTCTCCAAAGTCACAGAGGATCCAGTGGTGTAGGCAGTCTAATTGAATGGCCAATTGCTGGTAATGTGTTGCAACTCAAAACAGATGTCCCAATTATCCATCTTCCCTCACCTGCCTTCTTAAACCCTATCCCTCTGAGTCCTGCTTCAACACACGCTTTTAATTTCCCTCTGAGGCTCAGACCCTAAAGACACACCTTTAACCACTTTCCTCTCCTGCAGGAGAACAGGAAAAGTGTCCAATCACAATCTACGATACCATCTGACCATAATACTTTTACTGTCTGATCAAGTCTAAAAATGTTCTTGCATCACACTAAGCTTCATTCGTTTTCTATTTCCTGTAGTGTGTTATAGTGTTTTTTTTTGCATGTCAACGGTCTACAAAAGCTAACCAATCAGAGCAGACTGGTCTCTGGTGTCAGACAGAGGGTGAAAAGAGGTGTTGCAGCACAGGCAGTATGAGAAAATAAAGAGCTTTTTGAACATTAAAGCATGGAGACATGTAGAGACACTACATACTGATATACACCTGAACATCAGCAGGAGAGGACTCTTTAAAGTAGAGACACTACATACTGATATACACCTGAACATCAGCAGGAGAGGACTCTTTAAAGTAGAGACACTACATACTGATATACACCTGAACATCAGCAGGAGAGGACTCTTTAAAGTAGAGACACTACATACTGATATACACCTGAACATCAGCAGGAGAGGAGTCTTTAACATACTATCACAATCACTGAAGACAATGTGTTCAAGAGCCTTTAATGTACATTTGATTAATTAATTTTAGGATTGACTGGTGCACAGTAGAGTGCTTCAGTCTAACCTTATCAAATCGTCAGACCCTGTATATCTGTTTTGATGGTAACTATTAATACGTGGTTCATCTAAACATCAGATTTCACATCCTTTGGTTCAGCGTTGAAAATACACAGTGGTTCCAGCTGCTGTTTGCTTTGATTAATCATATTTTAGAGAAAGAGTTCCCTTGGAGGCCAGGTATGCTGCTGTTTTGGAGATCATATTTGAACCAAACTCGGACGAGTACTTTTCAGAAAACACTCCTGAAACACTCCCCTGTGAGTCCAGAAAACTGCTCTTGTAGCTTAGCAACAGATTTTATTTCACAAACACCATCAAGCTCCTCTTAGTGCCACCCCGGGAAAAACCTGTGTGTTTTCTACCGTCCGTTTGTGTGTACTGGGTCAAAGGGAGACATGACTTCACAAAGCATTACTGCCCCTCTGCACTTTGTTGTTTTTCACAGGAAGTGGAAAATATGCACTGAATTCTTTTGAGATATAGACCAACAATATGTGTTTATGTTAAAGAGGCCCTTTTATGCTATTTGGGTTTTCCCTTTCCTCTGGTGTGTTTACTGTATATAGGTTTTTGTGCATGTCAATGGTCTGCAAAGGCTAAAATCCCATAGTTGTTGAGTG